TAACTGTTCGGCGACGATGACAAACTTGCCGCAGCACAGGATTTCCTTGTTTCCAATTTTCCGTCTTATCTAGTTGCCTTCCACTGCACCGAATGCGTTTTTCATCACGTGGTTACGGCCGAGTTAAGTGTATTTCCATTAGCCTTGATCGTATATATACTACAGGTATTTCTAACATAGTTCAGATATCCCGATTCCATCCCCCCCTCCCAAGCCAGAGAGTTTAGATCTGTTGCGTCTAATATTCTCTCCAAATAAAATGAAAATGAGCGGCGGACAGAGACAGATGTTTACTAACAGCAGAAAAAAACTACAAACATTTAAACTGAACACTTCTACAAGGTTATACATAAAGCAAACGTAGAGACATTCCGCCAAGTGTAACCCACCACAAGGAGTTCATTGAAGCTACACCATTGAAGTCGGATACAGAGTAACCACGGTAGTAAGCTCCATATTGCCTTTGTGGGTAAAAGGTGAATGTCTGGGTGCCACCGTTTGCATACTGCAGCTGGAAATACATTGACTTTTTTTCGATATACCCGGTGGTCAGCATGACGAGATCATATTGAGGATCTCTAAGGTCTGTAAACAAAAAGGCAATAATTTTACGACATTATTCTCATGGAGAAGTTTCGTAACATTACTTCGGCTTTTAAGGAAATCTTCGATAATGTGGTCACTCCTGTCTTGGCCGCATAATGTATGATGCTAAGGGAGAATGAAACATCAATGCAACGGAAGTAAAAGCCGATGAGATGTAATGGCTTGTTTGCATATGACACACTAAACATTTGAAAAGACCTACAAAGCGGGCTGTATACACCCAGAGTTGGGGATGGTGTAGAGTCGCTCGCCAATTTCGCGCCCCCAGAAACGTCGATTTTCTTTAGAATTTAAATAAAAGGAGTAACTTTTGAGTGCCAATTTACTATTGATATTAAAAAAACTGTAAAAACGAGGAAAAATCTTAGCCTACCTCAACCTCATTCCTAAAGATGACAAGATATTCAAAGTGATATCCTGCCTCCAGATCGACTGTCTTGTCAATAACCGTGCCGCGTGGAAGTGTTGGTTCTAGCGTAAACACACAATTAGGGGAAAGGAAGCCGCTAAACACATGCTACACTGATAAACTGAATAGGAAGGTGCATAGATCATGACCATTGCTCAAGTATGATTACTTACGAAATTTGTTTTGCGGTTGCAAATAAGAATTATTGAGTTCTCGACTTCTTGCAAACAGTACACAATTAACCCGAGTAATGATATCTTGGCGAAGGCGAGCACAAATCAAAATTTTGTGACGATGGGAAACAAGGAACGAAGAGGATTTGTTGCAGTCGAGATTGGTTCTCTCTTTATCATTCTTCTCAACCGCAAAATGTAGGTAGGTAGGTGTGTTAAGTCATAAAATAGTGATCAAAATTACAAAAAATGTTTCCGATTCAAAAAGTTTTCTTAAGTAGTGTTGAAATATTAATGGCAGTGCAGCAAGATCCCGAGATACTTCGGTCATATCAGGATGCAAGTTATCAGGCGATTTTATTTCTGGCGGCCTGCAAAAACTGCACTCTGCAAAAAATGACTGCCTGAGTGATATGAATTTTTTATAATGATTCTCAATGCTCCTATAAATTCAAATTTGTTATATAGGCGACATGCATAAGAACATTCGTCACAATACCCCTTTCGTATTAAATTGTGTCACCTTCAAAGTTTATGCTTGAGGAAATAGCGCAATATGACCTTGAAACACTCAATTATCGAGTAACTTTCCACCCGATCAGGCGTTACACTTACGCTCAGAGTTCCCAGACTACAAGCGGTGTGTTTTCCATATGAGTAAAAGCACGAATTTTACGTTCCCTTTGGCAGGCAGCACATTAAATTCCCAATATTTTGCAGTGGATTTAGACCATATTGTATTGTGTATGGACATCATTAATAAGTGTATAGTCATCATGTGTTATGAATGGACACTTCGAGACCCTAAGAAATCTCGAAATCCAAAACATTTTAGAAGCCGGATGATGCTCATATAAGAAGGCAAGTTAAAGAAGACACTGTCTGCTAACAGGTGTTTGCATGAAAGAACCGTTGTATGCATGTTTTTTATAAAATAATTTTGGATTTGAAAATGGGAAAAGTCATACTAGGTAGGTAGTTACTTTTTACAGAGTGTGTCATTTGCAAGCATCTGAAAATGCCCATTCAAAGGCCGGAATCCAGAACTGACTGAAATATTCCGGGAACGTGCTGCACGGTAGTTAATATTACAACCATACTTAAGTTATCTTTTCGGGTAGGACGCACGGTTCGGAACTTTGGATAACATTTTCTGAGATAGCACCCACACACTGCACTTTCATATTTAAATGCATATTTTGCTTTTATCAACTATTTAGCCAGATGTGGCAAACATGTCTGACATTCTCTTATTCTTGTGTCATAAAATGTGTCCTGGAAACCTCTTCTGTACACTATAACCTCGGGTAATTTTCGCCTCGAACTGACGGTTCACTAGCATTCAGGGTTTCCAAGCTACAAACTGGCAGAAACAGCATGAATCTTATATTCCGCTGAGAAAATACTATATGGAATTCATGATATTTTGCGGTGGATTTTGACCATATTGTATACTTGACAAACAACATTAATAAATGCAGGGTTACTACGTCTTATGAATGAACATTTCTAGGTCCTTAAATATCTCACAATCGGAAACTTTTTGAAAGCCGAACGATAATATTTTCCAAATGCACAATTTACAGAAAACGCTATCTTCTAACAAATGAGCACACAAGAGAATATTTTCCTGCTGTTTTTCTATAAAATAGATTTGTATTTCTGAGAGCATCGACAGTCAATGAGGAAAAATCCTATTACATATATGGTCATTTTCACAGGATATAGTTTCTACAAGCAGTCGAAAATAAGGCCCATCTAGAAGTCTGAAGTGGTTTGAATATCCTATGATTATGCTGCATGGGAATTAATGTTATAATCATAAGTAGTCTCTTCGGGTCGGACACACAGTACAAAATCTCGGTTAACATTGCGTGAGATGGAATATTCTCTGCGCTTTTACGTTTAAATTCACATTTTGCGTCTGTGAACTACTTAACTAGATGTTGCAAAAATGGTTGAAGTGCCGTCACTCTTGTGTCACGCCTTGTTGCTTGAAAACGCATTTTCTAGGCCATACAGTTCATAGTATCCACAAGCGTACCTTTATTCTGTGCGTCCTCTCGGGTAATGACAAGGGCACGAGGAGTTGAACTTCGTCGAACATAGAAGATTACGGCGGAGACGGGTTCGGAAACTGTTCCACGCACTATCGCTCCTCTGCTTGCTAAAAGCGTACGAACAGTTTAAAACTACCGATCTAGTTATATACGAGCTTTTAATTTAAAAAGGTTTACCGTTAAATATTTGGTAACAAAACTCCTCTCTCTTGCAATTGTCACTTTTGATAGAGGGAGAGGAGGCTGTAACCTAAAACAGATTGACTATTAAGACATGTTGCAATTCTAAATTCACCGCAAAATAAACTTGGTAACTCGCTTTTTTGTAGCTATATGCGTTTTTAGAGTAATAGTTTTATGTTAACGCTAGGTGGCTTACAGGATTTTGAATAAATTTAAAAATTCGAACTACCTGGGTGACCGGATGCGTAAAGCCAAATCTCATAAATGTTGTGTCTTCGCCCACATTGAAATCAACTGCAAGGCAGGTTTCTAGAAAGAGCAAAAAGTGAAACATAAGCATTGTATTTTCTTACGGGCAAATATTAATATATAACGTCCAAATAATATCAGGGATTAATTTGCCATGATATTTCGTTTAGGCCTAACTCGATACAGGCACAGGAGTGTATGCTAAGATTTCTCTTCCAAACATAAACAAGCTACAATACATTAAGAAACTCGCTATAGTTTGACTCCATTCTATAATCTAACTCGCACTAACCGTGAATGTCTGATGAAAAATGGCAAACTGCCACTTAGTGAATCAGGAAAGAAAAATCTAACCAGTTACAAATTCACAATCAAAACTGGTAAACTGTTTAAAATGTCTTGTATGTACAACAAAAAGCATTCAGAGAATGAACATTAGTTATCAGAAGGAGACGATTCTTACGAAGTAGGAACAAGATGCCGACAAGCTCCATTTAAATTCTGAATGGAAGAAGCAAATGTAGAGAAGTAGAGCCTTGTTCAGAATATTTTTTAAGGAAAATTGCGTATCTAATAAAAATGTAGCTCACACATTAACACAACATTTACTTACCGTTAGTCAGTTAACTGTTGAGTGTCAAAGGCAAGCAATTGAGGAGAGAGCCCCCTAAAGAATTGCGTTATCTACTCCGCACTAAATTGGCCTGTCAGTATCGGGCTTTATTTATGGCAGAGGCGTAGACGATCTAGAGAGAATATCAGCCAATAGATCACCCAGCTGCACTCAGCGGGAACGCAAAAAGTGCGATCTGGCAAAACAATGTTCAAAACAGCCGTCTTAAATTGATTTACGTCTTTGTGAATGAATAGGCAGGAATTGAGCACGGGCGACTATATCGAAGCGGAGGAAATAAACCTGATTCTTCCCGACCGAAACGTCAAAAACAAGTGGAGGTTTATCGTTGCGCCTATGACTAGGTGGAAGGTTAACAATGACGGTGGTAGTGGTTTGTGCTCCTTCGGAATACACCGAAGGATTAGAAACCTAGAATATTGCCATAAACATGGAGAAAGTTGTATGCGTTACTAGACGTCAATAGTTCTACCCTATTTCCCTATTACATTTAACTTTCTATCTCAAGAAATCTCAGCCAAAATTCTGCAGCGTATTTTCGGTGAGAAAAGATTAATTAGTTTGTGTGCAGTGTAATTGCGACATATTTCAGTCACGTCCGGATGGCGACTTTTGAACGAGCCTTTTTCTGGCTGTCTATAAAATTAAATTTTTGCACAAATGATTACTTATGTTCCATAAATTTTTCTACTTACTTTCCAATGTCTTGATAAATTAAACTAAAGTTTGTAGAAACATGCACAACATTCTTGCACACTCATCCGATCTTCAATCTTCATGCATGAAAACAGCACAATTCGGCTTTATGAAACTTTTCCAACTCCCGAATAATATTGAACCCGACCTGCCGACTGTACACTTTCATTGTAATCAAAGTCACACATTTCTATACGTTACTAAGTAGACGTCATACATGGCTCATAGGATTTTGTAGTTGCGAAAATTTCCATAGCAGTAATCAGAAGAGGAGGTGGCGAACATACGTAGTTTTCGATAAATTCTCGTCGGGCCAGTACAATTATCTGGGAAGGGGGTAGAAGTAAAAACACGTCAGTGATAAGATAAATCGATTAGAGTTCGCCTTAAAACACGGACTGGGTGTGGGAATGTGGAGGTGGGAGAGGGGGCTCATAGAAGTCAGTGTCAGGGGCGGTGTGAGAGGGGAAGGGCGAGGAGCGAGTTGCAGCGTTAGTCGACCTTCGACCACTGTGGACGCGGAGCCTGAACGTGGTTCTTCTGTGCGCACAAGATTGGTTTTCACAACCTGAAGGCGGTCGCTTCTGCGATTGCTAACAGGTGCTGTCCCAGTGGTTTAGGACAGCTCGATGGGACCTTACAGATCACGCGAAACGCTCCATTGGGGTCTACATGATGTCCGGAATCGACAACAGACGCGAGAATGGTGCAGCGAATGCGAACCGTGTTGTCTGATTTACAAGCGGAATTAATCAATATACCTTCCGGACGCTTTACGAATGGACATTTTGCGGTCGAAAAATCTTCTTATTGGAGGCCTCTTTAGAACTCAAACTATACCCTTCCTTCAAGCATAGAAATTAGAGAAGACGTCATTTCCTCACAAATGAGTATAAGAAAGAACATTTCTGTGGCGTTTTCTATAAAATACATCCGGATTTATAAGGCCATCGGAAATCAATGGGAAAATGCATTCTATATAAGTCGGCCTTTGTTTCAAGGCGTTAGGCGTTCTCAGCGGCCGAATAGAAACTCGTTCAAGAGCCGGGACCCTGACCTGACTGAAATATCTTAGGATTACGCTGCACGATATGTGGTATTACAAGCCAAGCTGAGTAATCTCCAATTAAAAACCCATTTCAGAATTTCGATTACCAATTTATCAGATAGCACATCTATGTGGGCTCATAAAGATTCTTGCGCTTGTTGAGAGAATGCAACATCGTCTTTTGGGGAAGTGAAGTCAACACCATCCGACAATTTACCGATGTAGACCGGAGATAAATGACCGGTATTCTGACTTGCGTGTTTCATAAGTCGATTTTTTTTAATCACACAAAGTTCATAACCCAATGGGTGGGAGCTAGGTAGATACATAAAACGCCACTACGATCATCAATATATTAATCATCTACCAGGATGTTTTCAGTCACACACAAGCCTTTGCATACTTTCGTACCTGTATTGTCAGTTGTGATCGTGCACTGATCTAGAATAACTGTCAAATCGCCTACTCTTAATTGATTTTTGGTCCGTATGATTGTGAAGTACGATGGTGTATGGGTGTCACCAGTATCATGCCGCGTTGTGATTCATTCTGTCAACTCGGATAAATTCGCAATCCTCAAAAGAAACGAGGAGACGAGTCCCAGGATGCAGTCGTGAAGAAGGAGACGCGATCGATGGGACAATAACTTTTTCGCCTACCGTTTCGGATTTCTGCTCGAACCCATCATCAGAGGCAAAAACAGTTAAGGGTATTCCACGCCCAAGGGGCTGAGATATCTATAGGATGCAGTCCCCATGTTACCGCATACCAATGAATATTCACGGTGTTTTAGCATCAGTTTGACGACTCGGATGAGCTGTCACCGTTTTGCTGTCTAGGGCTTGAAATACATGCATAGATTCGGTGCTGCTTTAAGCAAAGCTTTATGTGCAAGCGTCTTGAGTATAAGGAGGAAAAGAGGAGTAAGATATCTAGTCTTTACACGGAAGGTGAAGGTAGTAGCTCTTAAAGCGCCCATAAATCTTTTGACTTACCACTTAAAAAACTGAAATATGAATGAACTAGATGACAATTTGGCCCTTTCACATATTTGTGTTAGATGAACAATTGCTGCCGACATACATTAAGCTGGTGGGTTATTGGGTATGCGACAGCCTAACAAGTTCAAAAGCGCTTGCGATAACTCAGCCCTTAAGTTTTCACAATAAGTACAATCAAATCTGGCGTTGCTAACGCCAGCTACCGTTGCTGCTCACCATAATGACGATACGTCGTTGCATTTACCTTTTGTTTTTTTATCTCTTTCCGCTATGAAGAGCTTTCCAGGCAATCCGGAAGAAATGCCGCCTACAATTCAATGGGTTCGTGGCAGTCTGTCTTCGTGGCCGCCAGTCCAACTATTCATTCGTAACGTTCACTTATGTGTCAGATTATTACCTGCGCTTCACATGATTCTGTCCACGGCGTGGCAATAGCGTCACGGAATCAACGCTATTGGCTGTCGATTGACGTGACCTAGACGCAAGCATGCACCTCGATTGCCAACAACATGACCTAACCCACTAGCTTCCACCGACCTTCGAAGTGTTCGTTACTAGCCCGTCACTGTAAGGACTGTCCTACTGATACTGTCTCCCCAAAGTTTTATCCTGAAAACGTCATGTTAGCGTCCTCTCTATCTCGACAGGTTCACCTAATAATTAAAAAATATCGATTTTCTGTATAATTAAAATATACGTCGTCGATACTTCAATAATGGATCATCCAACGTCTTGCTTATTTCCATTTTGGAAATGTCCTGCCTTCTGGGCCGCTTAAAGTCTTCCTACTGCAGTCATCCATTTAAAAATAACCTTGCAACACTTTAAAATTACCACCTCGCACAAATTTTCCCCGGCAATAGAAGGAATAAAGATTGAGGTGTTCAAAACTAAGCCTATATTTTTTATTCCTCCTCACCAAGTATTCAATTAGACATGAACATCGCAAATAATGTCAAAATTTGGATGACACTCTGAGAGTAACAAAGGAATACATGGGTATATAGAAGGGTTGAGAAGACACCGATATAACCACTGATTTTAGAATCTACTTTAGTTTAAACGTAGTAGAAACAAGGAAATATACGGAGAAGCAAAAATCTCTGCTAGAGGATCTACTGCAACATTTTTGATAAAGATAGAGAAAGCCCTGATGCGTAGTTCAGAATAAAGTCCAACTTTAAGATGGCCGGCCGTTCGTGTGATTTGCATACTGCAAGTTACTCGACACTGCTTTTGCGCCTGTTCAATTGACAAAGCAGAACAATGGAGCTACGATGGGGTTTTGTCGTTGACTGAATCCACATTTAACTGTTCTGTTGTTGAAATATCCTGTAGGATATTCGGTAAACACTGGACACAAATTAATGTGGCGTCCACCGACCGTATTACGAAGTTCACTCTTCCCATTGTGCCTCGGGGCTTTTACTCTCTTGCACCGCCAGCGGCCCTACAGCGGCGCGTAATATAGGCAGAATAGTGTTACCAATCGGCGGGCGTCTCCCTCTACCCGATCGCAACTGACAAGACAACGAGACCGTGATGAAGTGGTTAAAGTGCTGGACTTCTAACCAACCGGTCGTGGAATCGAGCTGAAAGGGTTGCAAACCTCTGGGTTGGAAATGGCCGGATAACGATGACTAGTAGGCCGAAAATGGTCATTCCAGTTTTCCCTGTCTCAGTCGGCAATGCTCTTCCAAAGAATTTAAGTATACGAAAAAAAGACATATTTCTTGTTACTAAAAATTATGCGGACACTTTTAAGCAAATTTGAATTTTTTAAAAAAATCTTAAAACATGTCGAAGAAAAACGTCGTACTTATTGTGTTGTGCTATAAAAATCATAAGAAAGACTTTCGTGGTGAGGAATATCGAATGAACCGGTTCCTGCAATAAAA